AATCTGGTTTTAATTAGAGATATCCCCCCCACCGCCTCATCAAAGCGTTTTGCAGCGATCGAAAAAAGGTAATCTGTTGGTGCAAGATCAGGTGAATATGGCGGTTGGGATAGAACGGATGGCATTTTTTTCTTGTGTTATTCTTGCTCGATACGGTCTTGCATTGCCGTGGAAGAGAACATTTTTATTATCGACGAGCGCAGAATCCTCTTCGACAAAGTTTTCATGAACCCATTGCAGCTGCTTGACGTTTAAATGTGCATTTAGCATTTCAGTGATTTTTAATAATTAACTGCTCTTATATGGCAGTGAATGCTGGACAATCTTCTCACAGATGATTTGTTTTGATCGTTGGGTTTAAAAGTATATCAACCTTTGTTAAGTCATTTTATGCCAAATAAGATTTGATTGGGTATCATGGTTTGTGTTTTAAATTTAATTTGTCAATAATATTTTAGTTGAAAGCGACAGCCTTAGTAAAGGTGTTCATTTAAAGTTAATGATTTTGGTATGAAGTTCATTTAGAGATTATTTTATTTTGTTTATTTGCTTATGAGTATAAGATTAAGTATTGCTTAAATTTTTGCATATATCTAGGTTTCATTAAGAAATATATTTTATTTGGATAAAATTTGCCTAAGTTTGCCTGATAATACCTTTCATGGACCAGACTTAAATCTATACATTTTATAAGTAGGTGTTCCACTATATATCGTTCACTGCATGCATAATATATAGATGGATCTTCCTTTTTTCCTCACAAATAAAGAAACTTCTAGCAACAGAAATGTAGTTCTACAGAAAGATGCTGAGAATACCATGGACAAGATATATGAGTAACGACGAAGCTTTAGAGAAAATGGGAACAAAAAGGAAACCAATACATAACATCAAAGAGTTGAAATTTCTAGAGCAAATAATGAGGATAGAGGGCGTGGAAAACTTGACACTCAGAGTATACTGGTGGCAAGCTGGACAGATGAAATCATCGCATGAATTACCTAATGAGCTTGTGTAAATGGTTTAAGAAAGATAGCAAAATGAAAATTTATTAAGAGTTACATAGGACAGGAAATTGCAGAGAGCCGTGATCGCCAACGTCCTAAAGGGATACAGCACCTAGAAGAAATTAATAATGCCCACTGATCCTGCGAAAACCACAATATTTTTGAAGATTTATTCATGTCAACTCTTTGCCTTTTGCTTTGAGCATTGTCGTATATCCCATTTTTCATTTTCTGTTTTCTATATTTAAGGAGCAGTTAGTTAAGATGATACATTCCTCATTAGAATTAGTTTACAAAAACCGAAATTATTTATGACTCCAGCTAATATTAAGATACACACACACAAACACACACACATATCCCCCAAAATGGTAATTAAAATAGGAAATGAAAGACATTCCTACACGAAGTAAAAGTTTGTAAAAAATATGTCAACATTAAGTAGCCTGACTTCCTCAATGCAAGCTAGATATCATAGGATCGGCTGAAAAACAGGAATCTTAAAAAATAAGTGGAATCATTAATTGCAGGAATACAAAATTAACACATTCAAATTACGCTCAAATCAAAATGAACAGAATATGCCGTTTGTACAGAGATATTGTCCCTAAAAGAACGTAAACAAAATATTCTAAAATCAGCAATACAAAAGCGGTATAAACAGCAAGTAAAAACTAAGAATGGAAAGAAAAAAACATAATATTATGAAATTCGATGTACACAAAGATCATTTGATCGCAAAAAGAAGGCAAGTTATAATTTTAATAAGATCAGAAGATAGAATTAATTAACATCACGGTAGCGGGAACAGTTATACAGTGCTATTCGATAAAAGTGACTCACCTGATTTTTTTTACTAAATGTTCTCTTCTCCGATGAAACGAAAGTTGAGCTAAATTTAAAGGATAAGCGATCTAAAATCTGAAGAAGAAGCTTTGAAAGCTCTTTGCATTTAGCAGTAAGTACTGTCAAGCATCCGTTCAGTATAATGTTCTGGGGATGCTTTTCTTTTCATGGAACGGGTTTCTTAAAATCTACTGAAAAGACCCTTAGGAGTGAGCAGTACAAGAGAATTTTAGAGTCTTGTCTGCTCCCTTCTGCTGAAAGGGTGCAAATCGACCCACCAAGCTCATTTTTATGCAGGATAATGCTCCCTGTCACAGAAGGAATACTTTGATTAGAAGCAGGTGAGTGTTATGACATGGGCGCCCCAATCTCCTGACCTCAACCACTTAGAAAACTTATGGAGCATGTTGCTCAACTGCTTTCTCGGGAGCCTGTACTTTATAATGCTCCATAAGTTTTCTATATGGGGTTTCTTTTTGATATGATAATTTTGGGGTTTATAAACTTTTGTTTCTGGATATTCTCTCCACTTATGAAATGTTCTAAACAAATGAAAATCTGTAGGTGCTAAATCTGGTGAGTACGGAAGATATAAAAGAAATTCCTATCATAATAATCTTATTTTTATAGGATTTGTTTTGCAGAGTTGTGTGCCGTTGGATTGTCATGCTGAAGAATAACCCCCTTTTTTCTATCAAAACAAGACTAGTTTCGCTTTCTCAATGAAGTTGCTGACAAACGTCTGCTTTGATAGTTTTTCCATGTTCCAGTAGATCGTAATGGACGCAACCTCATGGCACCAGATACAAAGCAAAGATATCCATCGAGCCCGTACTGATTTAGGTGTCTGCATGGGTTTCTCATTTTATGTTAACCATTGTGATTTTCGTTTACTTTTGACATCCAAAAACCATTTTTGATCACCTGTAAAAATGCGATGCAAGACTGAAAGATTGGATTTCCTGGTTAAAAAAAAAAAACTGAAGCAGGGAAACTTTGTGTTCAGTCTGTTCTCAAACGAAACTTCGCGAGGAATCCAAATTCCCTCTTTGTAAGTTTTCGAAAATTGAGATTTTCGTGGAGAGTTAGACGTGCCACATTAAGTATTTTTTACCAAATCTCTGGAGCTTTGGCATGGATCCAATTCAATATTCTCTTTCGAAAGTTCTTATTTCAAAGTGGGTCGCCTTCCAGAGCGAAGATTGTCGGATATGTCACAATCGCCATTTTAAAACCTTTTATACCACATCTGTCATGTACGAACATTCACTGCATCTGTATACACCGCACAAATGTTTTTAAATGCCACTGCAGCAGTCTAACATTTTCGGATCCATATAGTAAGCAATGGATAATTTGTTGCTTTTACATGTTATAATCTTCCATTGAATTAAACCCTGATATTCTGTAAACGACACACTTGAATAGAAGAGATAAATTAATTCTAGTACCATTCTTTGTACCATTCAACTTTGGTTCTGCTTTGGTTGGTTGACTCCTAATTCTTAGCGGTGAAATACATTATTACTTTCCGAACAACCTAATACTTTTTATACACGCCAACGATATCTGTGAATTTCTATGAAGATGAATTATTATTATTATTATTATTATTATTATTATTATTATTATTATTATACCGGGCGTAGCAACAAAACTATTCAAATCGTATAACAGCATAATTATCTATCCCACAAAAGAAACCTTTTTTCCAGGTTTTTACATAAGACGTTTAGCCAACATGACACCATTGTTCCTAAGAATCACTGAAAAACACTTTGATTTATTCAACTAACGAAAAAACGGCAGGTTAAAATCGTTTTGTGTCAGACCCACTGTCTTCCAGCTGATCAATGGTGAGAGGAAAATGATCATTCAGGCCTTCAGTAATGGTATCAACATTCATACTCTGGTTTCCATCTTCAAAGTCCATTCAAGAACCATCACGAGAACGATGAATAAGTTTTAAAAAGAGTGAACACTAGAGAGGAAAACTGGTTCAGGAGGTCACAACAGGAAGAGGGATTATTAATTCAACTCAGCACTAATGCGATCAATTATAATAGATCCAACTCAATTCATAAGACGTTTGGCATATGATAGGAGTTTCAACCATGATAATCCAAAGAGCAGTGAAAAAATATTTGAAAATGAAATCGTATGTGAAACATGTGAGGCAACTTGTTACTCCAGGATAGAAAGTTAGACGGTTAGAGAAGGCGAAGATTATTTTGAATGAGTTAGCAAATGACCCTGAAATAATATATATATATATATATATATATATATATATATATATATATATATACTTGATTTCAATACTTCATAAGCTTCCGATCATTAGCTATGATTAATTAATGATGAACATATTATTTTCGTTTATGATTTATTTCATCACGATACTTCTGTTAAGCTTGGAGAGTAATTATACATTCTTATTGCTCAAAATAGAGTCAGATTGTGGTATAAAAATCTCGGAGAATTCCAGTAAGATATCTTTAATCATTTGTAAATTACAGCGGCTCAGAGTTTGATCTAAGAATTGGACAATTTTGCTGTTACAGGATTTGGACAATTTTACTGTTACACCCGGTACACTGATTTATTCGAACGGTTTTCCTCATATTCAGTGTTATAACATTTCGGCTCTTGCAGTCTTTGGTGTTCTTCATGACCTGTCGTAATTGATTGCATGTTATTTAAAGCCAGATTTTTTTTTTTAGATTGTAAGAATTTTTTAGAGACAATAACCATTTAGTGATATAAATCGTACTAATTAACCCATAGTTGGAGGGAGAAAAGATGGACTCATACCTTTCCCAAGGGTAATTGCACGTAAGAGAATATAAAGAACTCAAATGAAATTGGAACTTGTTTCTATTACACCATCTGCACAGCCAAACTGATAGCACCTGTTATTTCCAAGCGGTCACCTATCTAGTTACTGCCCAGGCTTCCCGTTGCTTAAATTCCGTGATCGTACGGGGAAGTTAAATGGCCGTATGCCTTGTCATAATTTGTAGCCTTCTTAGAATTAGAACTCTAAGCCATTCTCTTTCTGCTGTCTATGCTCGGGTATAACCACGTTTAAGGTAAATTTTCTGTTCTGTGATATAAGCGTTTGTTAAGCGGTACAATTTATCTGACTTACGGCCACATCACGTTGAAACACCGGTTACTGTACGATCAATGAAAATAAGCAACGTTGAGCCTGGTCAGTATCTAGATGGGTGACAGCTTGCGAATAACAGGTGCTGTAAGCTTGGATGTGCGTGTGGTGTAATGGACAATCTATCTTCAGCTATGGGTTGATTAGTAAGACTTCTTTCACGAAACCATTATTATCTTCCCTCCAAAAAATGTATACAAAATATTTAGATTTCGGCATTAAGTAACCCATAGAGGTTGATATACCATGAAATAAAATCAACCAACAACATTTTCTCTGATAGTCCTGACTATTACTGGATATAGATGCCACTGCTCGATTCAGTCCCTGGATTGAGCAGTGGAATCCATATTGTTTCCCTCAGCAGAACGAACAGAATCATCGCATCATAATGTAGAATACACAAAAGGAAAAGAAAATAACATAATTAATAAAAGTTAGAACAAACAACCGTATGAAAACAGACTACCTTTGAATAAACTCCTTGGTTCGAAATTCTAAGAACTTTACCGAATAGTACAGGCATCTGAAAAAGGTTTAATACATCGGATTGTTTGCTGTTTTTTTTGTTTTGTTTTTTTTGTTTTTTTTTTATGTTGCAGATTGATGAACGATGATCGCCGCCTTCAGTTTGATTTGCAGACAGAAGACGACAGGACAATCTCAAAACAGAAAGTTATTGGCTGCAAAATCTGTAGATGTAGATCATCTTTATCCTATTTTAACGTTAAAGAATACTGAAAGCTTTTCAAGGTCACACAATCTTGTTTGGTGCCGTTTTCGATTGGGAAAGAAGTCATGATATCAAAAGATTTGTTGGGCAACCCAAATTAATAAAGATTATCCAGAATACCGATCTGCTCATGTTCATATGTTGAACACCTTTATCCAATCAACAAAAGTGATATGCATCAAACCCCATCATTTTCTTTCTTTAAACCATATCGGATGTTTCTCGGTATGGTGATTTCGACAAACTGGGATACTGAGAGATTTAGTCATTTACAAAACATTGTTTCGTATACTGTTGGTTTAATATATGTATATTTCATTTTTTTTCTGTGCCATATCCTTTCAGTATGTAAAGTATCATGGCGCTTCACAATGTCCCGTCTTCTGTTACTCTAAGTAACTTTTCGCCCATTACTACTTCTCTTTTTTCTTGTTTTGCCATTCATTCAGCTAAATTCCTCAAGTAGTTTACTCGCTGTTTTCCCCTGCTTCACTTGCCATTAGTATATTTTATAAGTTCTAAAGTCTTCAGACCATTTTTCCTCATTATGTGTTCCAGAAACTTATTCTCTTTCAAACTGTAAGAATCAATTTCTTTTTTGTTGCCTCTTTCCTTAAAACTCTCGTTGATTACATGTTCTCTCCATGGTATTCTCAGCATTCGTCAGTAAAAACCACGTCTGTTACTAAAGTATCTTCATCTGTGAAAAGATTATCCAGTAGTCACTCCAATATAGGAAATTCGATATTTGATCGCACCGTAGCATTCTTTCCTAATAAAATTCTCTAATTCTTAGCTTCCAGAAGGTATCTTTCCCTATTTCTGTGTACCTTCGGATGTCTGTATCACTCTATCTGTCATCTGTTACTACATTTCCTAGATAGTTCAATTTCTGTGCCTGCTTAATTTTTACGTTCCCTATATATATATATATATATATATATATAGATAGATAGATAGAGAGATCACGTATTTGGACTGTCTTTTTTGGCCGACAGCCATGCATTCTGTCTTACAGTTAATAGTCCTTTCTTTTTATTAATAAAAGATTAACCTATTTTAAATAGAGCATCAAGTAAAATCCAAAAATATCACATGGAGGACATTACATTTTTTCAGGTTAATTAGAAAATGAAAATATTAGGGCGTTTGGTAAATAATTACTGGTATGTATGTAAACAAGTATGTATGTCAGAAAAAGTAGTCTGTATTTAAGAAGTAGTATATCAAAAGACATTAAAAAATAGTATGTAAAACAAAAAATGTAAAAAACATGTAGTATGTAATAAAAGCGTAGTATGCAAAAGATGTAAAAAAAAGAAGACCATAGTATGCAAAAAAAAAATAATAATAATTAAAATAAATATAAAAATTTGTGTTCAAAAACAAACTATGTAAAAAAATAAAGAATGTAAAAGAAAATTAAAAGAAATGTAAAATATTACGATATCAAGAAATGTAAAAAAGATAACACAGAATGTCAAAAACAATGCAAAAAATATGTAAAAAACTATAAAAAAGACAAAGTAAAAAAACAAAGTAAAAGAAACAAAGTTCAAAAAAAGAATGTAAAACAAAATTAAAATAAATGTATAAAAAGTAATATGTAAAAAAAAGAAAAATAAGTAAAAAAAAAAGTAGAATGTAAAACAAAAACAATTAAATGAAATGTAAAAAAAATAGATTGCTAAAAAAAAGTATGTCAGAAACAACAAAGTGTGTAAAAAAAAAACATTACTCCAATGTAAAGATAAAATAAACATATATAAAACAAATATGGATTAAATTATTTAAAATTTTGTTTATAAAACATGTAAGTAATCACTTTCATTTCTAACGATTACAATCCAACGGAAACTGGTTATAACTAATTTGGTATTGAATTCATGCAACTACAATAACGAATGCTGGAAAATATTTACTTTAGCATATCTTCACAAGTTTGATCTAAATCGACATTGATGAATTTTGCCAAATGATAGGCTTGAGTTTTGAATCCCCTATAGAATATTAAGCCTGTGTATCTAACCTGGAAACATGAAAACTCGGTTAACAGAAGAAATAAAAAAGAAATTTTAATGACTTCCTAACATTTCCATTCGTTTTTAGATAAACCGAAAAATGTTCTTATGTAAATGAACCATTCACCTTTCATAGGGAAGAAACTTACAACGATATTCATAGTTAATAAAAGATTTTTTTTTACACTTGACTTCACACGAGTAATTTACCATTCGGTAAAACATGCTTGATACGAAATAAAACTTTTTTTTTTTTTAAAGCGGTTCTAAAAAATGTAAGTGAAGATTGCAGCTTTTTATTTTTTTTTAAACGCTTTCTTTTCACCAATTCACTACTTTGATATGAGTGCTTAAATAAAGGCTTCATTGTCACTTCTCTTATATCCCTTATTTTTCTTTGTAAATTTCCTTCTTATGAACTTCAGTGTTTGAATATCTTGTGAAATAAATCAGGTAGCAAAACGACAGTGAATGAGGACATTTTTAATGCTCCAATATGCCTTTTCTGTTGGCGATGAAAAATATGGCAACAAAATTAAGAAAAACACTTTCAAAGTTGGACACAGTGGATACCTTATATCGAGATTGATTTTGTAAGCGTAGCGTAAATGTTGCACAAGGCCAAATGTAAGAGTACCAAGTGAGAATCGAACTCACTACACAACTGTAGCGAGACAAGTTGGCTAACCATTACACTACATCAAGGTGTCTAGTCTCGTAATATATAAATGTAATCAACAGAGTACAGGTATATTTACTCGGCCTCCCTACTAAACCAGGGTGTGCTTCAATGTTGTTTTTACATTGGAGGAGGGGTTGACATACACATGCGTATGTATATGGGTCAAGGTAGGTATTCAAGGCTCTATTACGTTTTTACATAATAGCGATCCATTTTGTTTTTATATTTAATATTTGTTTGTATGTAAACATATAAAACCTATCCTCCTTCAGTTTTTCAGCGACTGGATTAATCTTCCCCGTATTTTTCTACTGCAGTTTGCATCGCTGTGAAGAAAAACTAGGATAACCTTTCATTGTTGAAACTGTTAAATGTAGCCGCCTCTTCTACTCCAGTAGCTTCATCTCGCACCTCTCGCCTGTGGAACTCCCTTCCCTATTCCTGTCTCCCTGATAGCTATAATCTCAAACTATTCAAATGTAATGTCAATCGACATCTCCAGTTACCTTGATCTATCAACAATCCTTCACCTCATCCTTTCCTCTATCATTCCTACCTGCTCTGGCTCCAAATCCTCTATAACTCCTTGCGTGCTAGTGGCTTCCCGCCTTGCTAGAGGTGAAATGCTTAAAAAAAAATGGCCGATGTACGTTTACATTGGAACGGAAGGTGGAAATACCGCAAAGACAAGAAATGTAAAAACGAAACTTGTTTGAAAGATATTTGGTTATTTATTCACGGATTCCCTTGTCATTGTCTGGGAGGGAAGGTAGGTTACCCAGATCTTCACTGTTATCTCTGTCTTCCCTCGCGTCAGACTAACAGACCAAAATGGCTAACAAGTGTTTTAAAAAACATTTAATCTCTACATTTCTACCATAGGTATGTCTTCGCCCACGGACGAATCGAACAAAGACAAATGAGATACTAAAATTCAAATCTCACTTTAAGGCTTTATTGCTGATCATGAAACATCGTCCATTTTTGTTTCGCGTGTCTTCCAACCACGTTCGGGTTCCATTTTACCACACAAAATACACCGTTAAATTCATTCCTCATTACGTGTTTCAGAAATTTCACCTGTCTCTTTCTAATTGTAAGTGTACTTTTAGATAATATTTTCTTCAAAGGATTAACGGGGTAAAAGTAGAAACAAATAATACTATTTTTTTTAAAAGAGAAATGAGTTCCAGATATACAAAAGTGAAAGTGGTGTATGTGTTTTCACAATCGTATTCAACCTATACAGTGAGGCAATTCCGAGAGAATTAGATGCCCTACCATTATTGGCGGTCACAATATGTGGTTCTACATAAGGATCAGAACATGTGATAGCAACGACACGGATTTTCCTACTGAAGATAGTGAAGGAAAATAAGAAAGGAAAACAAAACAAAGCATTATGGGACCCAGATGCCAAATCAGCAAAATAAAAACAAGAGTTTAATGGATAGTCTTCTAACAAAGTGAGATACTAAAATTCAAAGACGCGTTGTGGTAGCCAAAGATGCATTCCAAAAGCTAAAAGTATTAAAAGACAGAAACAAAGAAATAAGTACTTAACTGTTACGTAATATCTGTCTTCCTACGTGGCAGTGAATGCTGGACAATATGTTCAAAGATTAGGAGACTTTCAGCAAAGGAAATGTGGTTCTA